CACTTGAACCTCGAGAGGAGTAGTGGGATCTACCGTGAACACGACCGGGCCTCGAAAGGAGCTATGTGCACAGATGAGCCATCGTACTTTCTGTGTAGAGATCCATAACAAGGGATCGTCGTAGACCGCCACTCACCCGTTGTACAGACGGCCAATTCCTTGACCAGTTGATCGACCAATTCGAGCATAATACTGAAAGTGAGCGTCAAACGTCAAGGGCCCCGGGGATAGGTACCGAGCATTGAGGCAGCACGACCATCCGGATACAGCGTGAATGAATGTGGGCGGTGCACGCTTGAGAGCTACTATTCGAAACAGACACGATCAGCCTGGGCCCGATGGAAAGAAGCAGCCGAAATTGCTCACCGCAATGGGAGGCGACCACGGCGCCGGGCTAGCTGCGCATCCCAGACCCCTTCTGGTATATTCGAGACGAGCGCAAGACGCGCAGCCGAGGACGAGAACCGTACGATGACTACCCCGATTTGGCGTGGCAATCGTTGTCCGGCTACCGTCGCATTCGTCGAGTACTTGAATTAGCGTCCTGATCGCGCGTTGAGTTCCCGTGTTCCCGCTATCGCTTCCCCAGTCAGCTTTTCTTGTTTGCGAGCGTGAAAGGCAGATCACCTACCGCGCATTATCTCACTTCGCTGCATACCTCTGCCGTCTTCCTCCACGATGGCCGTCTTCCGCGCGCAAGGCAGTACCCTCTGTGCCGACTGTTCTCGGCCAGAGATCAAGATGTGAGGAGAGCTCAGGGGCCTGCTGGACGATGGACTTTGTGAGTATTGGGCATTTTTCCACGAGCAAGCCTGGGCTGACCGCATCCGGCCTCAGCGAACGTCTCCGGTGTCCCAGACGCGCAGATGGCGTATGCCATCAAACGGTACTGCACCGGGATCGTCTTGCGGTACCGTGTCAAACTCGTTGGATGGCCCGACGACATCATTTTTAATGATCCCAGCCGTGTCACGGGGAAGGAACACATCTCGCGCCTCCTCGCGCTCTGGAAGAGCGGCTCCATGCACTTCGTCCCGCTTACAGACCCCGCCGAGCTCGACGCGGCCAAGAAGGACCCCCTCTTGGTCGCCCCTGCTCGTCTCCACCGCGGCGTCGCGCTGTAGCGCCACCGTGACCGTAGCGACCTAGGTAAAAGACGTCGCCGCCAGAAGTGAAATCCGAACTACTTACCGTTGAGGCACTCCCGGGACGGACTGCCGAAGTCGGCCGAGACGTTGATGGAGGAGGCGGAGACTATGGCGGTTGCGGAGGCTGGGATCACCGAGTGGACTAACATGCAGCGCGTGCTGCTCAAGCTCGCACGTCTTCCGCTGGTGCTGAGTACGCCGTAGCGTGGGCCGCGGGCCGTGGTCAATATCTTAGAGCGCATATGGAACACTAGTACGAATCATGATAGTTTTCTCTCATTTCGACCGCGCTGCGACGATGTGGGGGGTGAGCGGACGCCATCGGTGGTGGAGGTGACAAGGAGAGACGAACGAATTGGCTGAGCACGCGTCTCGCCTACGCGGGCGCTTGATTCTTGCGATCCTCATTTCTCGTCTCCGGCGCTCCTTGCCCTCTTCCACCATGACCCCGACTGCGCGTAAATTGGTTCCTGGCTGCCAAGATCCTCCGAATCGGTCACATTTTTGACCAACACCCCAACACATGTAGACAGGCTGTAATGAGGGTATTTTCGCCAAATTCGGATTCAAGGCGAGCGTACATGGTCGGCCCGGCCGACCGAAGCTCGCCCGCGCTAGCGCTTACTTCGTGGAATCCGCGTTTCTCATCCGGCGCACCTCCGCGTTCGCCTCACTCTCTCCACCACGATGCGGCATCACCGACCGCGCCCAGAATTCGTTGCCATGTCCGCGTACTACGCCGCAGTGCCTCGATATACTGATGGATATTTTAGCGGTTGCGGATGGTGTCTTCTTTCGGTACTCCTGCAAGACTGTGCCTTCGCAAGCGGCGGCACACAAATTTGCGATCGCTTCTGACGGTAGTAGCTGTACTCGTCTCCATTGTAGAATATATTTCTAGCCTTGCGGGTGCACCCTGGTATCGTTATTGCGCTCTGGAGTGGACTGAGAGGATGGTGGTATCCATGTGAGGAGCAGGGACGCTGCTGCTCATACTGCTACCCCCTTCACTCTCATTCCATCTGGACGCCAGCAGATCCTGAGCCACCCAGAGTTTGAGTAATCATCGGTGAGCCGGGACGGGCTGATGTCCATTGTGAGAATGGAGCAAGGGCCCAGAGCGCTGGGCTCCTGGATACACCCAAATTGCAAGCCTGTCGGATATCCATGGCAAACTGTGAGCCTCTGAGAGTCCGTGTGAGTTTGATCCATTAGAAGCATGCTGCGGAATTTCACTTGGATTGATTGGGTGTCCGGAGCTCATCCGAGAAGCAAAACCCAATTTATTGAGCAACAAACACAGGCATAGTCTAATGCATACAGATTATACAGTACATACTAGAGCAGGGAGCTGCAGCACTCATCTCTGACAGGCAGAACACCATCACTGAGTGACCGCCCTCCCACAAGCGGCCCTGGTAACCTACTGGGCGGCATCACGTACAAATGCAACGCTGGAGAACCAGCCCGCCGACTGTGATTGCGCTTGGGTGTACAGGCCGGCAAGGACTGTGCCGATTGGATGTGCTAGGCGCAGCATCGAGGCCTGAGGTACTGATGCATGGGAAACATCCGGCGGCGAGTCGGGGGTACCTTGGCAGGCGAGGGATGACTCGGAAGGCATTGATGTTCGCTTTGTGCTCGCAGTCTGACAGAGCCTGATACCGATGTGAAACGCACATCACGTCAGGCGGGGACAGCGGCGGGACCTGGGGGCATGCAGCAATCAGTTTCCTTTCAGAACGCCGAAGCCGGGGCTGCGCGGCGGAAGGAGGTACAGGAAAGGCGCGAGCCTCGCCAGGATCTGCCGACTTTCGCAGGAAAGGACCGCCTCCGAGTCCAAGCCCGCGCGAGGCCCGCGCGGAGACGGAGAATATGGTACGCACTTTGAGCCATGCTGCGACTGAGCGCATGCACCTACATTCCTGACCCCTAGCTGAAGACACGTACCACCTCGCGATGCAAACACGCGCGGGCCGATGGGGATTGCGCGGCGAGTCCGGTATGATTTCTTGCCGTGCATTTGTTAGCGGAGTCCTGCGCGTACTCATTGCGCGGCGCGCACCGAAGCCTGTGTGGCAGTCGCAAGGCAATCTGGAGATCTAGCTTAAACAGACGAGATCAGTATCATCAAGGGAGTCGCGCAAGAGCGGAAGCGCGTACGATCACAGTCGGCGTAGCGATGTATGCGTTGCTAGAGCGAGTGGCGGTGAGAAGAGTGTACGAGACGCCGGCGCGAGGTGCGCCCATAACTCGGCTAAACAGACGCCCATCCACCCACCTTCTTCGAACCGCTACGCTAAGCTCGAGCCATGTCGCGTCGCGAGGTGGCGTTTGCTCAGCGGCCAGTCGCTGGTCCGAGACGCACTCTATGACGTACCAGCCCAGCCCGGCTCGCCGATCGTCACTGATGGTCTCTGAGATCTGACCACGGCCCACCACGGCGGCCCGTGGTGCCCCACCGCTCTGCCACAGTAGACCGTCTACACCACCCGCTCGTCTCAAAAATTCACGACGGTACTCTCGCAACCACGCCGATCGACACCGATCTCCGCAAAACTCGGAGTCACCGCGCTCGGCCTCTTGGGGTCGTCCGATCCTCTGGGGAATGTTTTGCACCTTGTTTCCTCCCTCCATCTTGCCAACTCTCGAGGTATGGCCAGCATGAACATGTGCGTGTGCTCTGTCTCACCGGTAGTGCAGCAGAACGTCTCCAGCATCGCGTTCCGACGGCCACCAGGCGGCCTCTCCTAGTACTACCTGGTCTCTGGTTCCCCATCGTCAATCCATACCCTCCACCACGCTTTTCGCTCACAAAGTCTCAAAATGTCACTCGAAGACAAACTGAACGCCGCGCTCACCTCGCGCGAAAAGCGGCTCATCCGGCGCAGACTCTACGACCCCTCCGCGGACGCGCACCTCGTCGACTTCTCCACAAACGACTACCTCTCCCTCTCGCGCTCGCCCGACCTCCGCGCCCGCTTCCTCGCGCGCCTCGCCGCCGCCCCCGACGTCCTCGGATCTGGGGGCTCGCGCCTGCTCGTGAACGGACACGCGCACGCGGCGTTAGAGGCGCGTCTCGCGGGCTTCTTCCGCGCGCCCGCCGCGCTGCTCTTCAACTCCGGGTTCGACGCGAACGCGGGCTTCTTCGCGTGCGTGCCGCAACCGGGGGATGCAGTCGTGTTCGACGAGCACATCCACGCGTCTGTGCACGATGGGGTGCGCGCATCGCGGGTGGCCGCGCGGGTGCCGTTCGCGCACAACTCGATACCCGCGCTGCGGGTGGCGCTCGAGCGGTTACGCCAAGACAGGCCGGCGTTGGTGAGCGGCGGGAGCAGCGTGTTCGTCG